AGAAAATCTTTCAATTCAAATTCATTCTAATTTTTTATGTTTTCTAATTCACAGATGCCAAGAAGATAAAATTCGACATTGAAAGCGATGGGATTACTTTTAGTTTAAACCAAAAAGGTGGAATGTATTTGATCTATCAAGGATTTCCTTTTACGAAAAAAAGTTCGTCTTACAATCGACATTACTGGCGATGTGTTCATCAAAAACCTTTGAACTGCAAAGCTGGAATTGTGCAAATTGTGGATGTTAATCGGTTAGTCCTCTTCATTAAGTTACAAGTAATGATTCTTTAAACTTTAAATTTTTTAGATTCAAAGTAATGAAAAGTGAACATTCTCATCCATTAATCACTGAAAGAAGAAAGCCTGGAGAGTTCAAAGCATTAATGGCTAAGCAATCAGAAAATCTCCATAAATAGAAATTCCAAAAACTAAACTAAAACTGATTAAATGTATTTCTGAAATAAAAGAAAACTGTCCTGTGAATGATGTGAAATTTTATTCATTGGTTTCTCTCTAAGACATGAATAATGAAAAAGAAAGTAAAATAAATCAGAAATTAATTTTTTTCTTTTAGTTCTACCAAACTTCTTAAGAGTAAGAGACATCACTTACAGTTCAACAAAACGTGGATATCTGATGCTCATCTACAAATCTCATGCATTTCTGAGAGAAAACTTGACAACTATCGCTGGATTTTCAACAACTCTTTGGCATTGTCGTGAGAAGAAAAGAAAGAAGTAATTTGAATGTTAATTAAACTACAACATTTGGTAATTTTTTATTTTATTTCAGATGTCGTGTACGAATAAATCATAACATGGATTTAAACACTTTCAAAATTAATGGTCACGATCATAATCATCAAGAACCAACTGTGTGTAAATTTTAATTATTTATCAGCTTTGAAAATCTCAATTATTATTTTNACATATCCAAATAATTTACTAATCTTTAACTTTCTTTTTTAATTTTCTTCAGACAGCTCATATTTAAATATATATGACGAGATTCAAATAATTCCATCGGGACGAGGTGGAACTTGCATTCTTCACAATGATTATAAGTTCACTTTGCATATCACAAACAATGATGGAATTTGCTATTATCGTTGCAAAGCTCACAAGAAGAAGAAGTAAAGAATAAAATTTATTTAAGATGATTAATATTGGAGATTAATTAAGATTTTTCAACAGATGTCAAGCTCGATTGAAATATGATGAAAGCAACGGAATCGCAATTCTATTGAAAGATCACGATCACAGTCCTGAAGCTGGAATTGACCCTGACTGTGAGTTTAATTCATTAATTTAATGCAAATTTTCAATTCTGTGAATAAAAATTAACTGAAAAAAAATCTTTACAGCATTTGTCGGCACCGACATCACTGATGACATCGAAATGGTCACAAATAACAAAGGAAGCACAGTTGTCTTCTATAATGGCTTCAAATATTTGAAATCTGGAGAAAGCAAAACTTCTCTTCAATATCGATGCGTTTTATACATGAAAAAATGTCGTTCACGAATTATTTTTAATCGTGAAAATAAAACGGCAATGAAGAATGAAATTGGACATAATCATGACGTCGATCCACATTCCTATGACAGTTTCATGAGTTCAGCTGTTGAAACACAACGTTTTGTCAAGAACGTAACTGGAATGAAAAGAAAATCGAAAATGATCACTTGCGTTAGTGCTACCGAGAAATAAAATTGAAATTGTTCTTTTTTAAAAATTAATCAATAAAATGACTTGACATAA